CATCTCCTCCTGTATATAGGTTTAGGTAGGTATACTACGAGTGAGTAGCAATTTTCCTAACATGAGAGTTGGCATCTATCTTAGGCGGGTCGGTTCATAGAAGGCTTAGGATTGGAAAGAGTCTTAAGCAAAAAGTAAGGTATTGAGGTAGCTATAGGTTGGTGCTGTAGGTTTAAGGACTGATTAAGCTTACAGTAGAGAGAGTGGTAGAGAGGTCCTATAGGACACTGTAGGAGAGAAGCTGACGAGGGCAACTCTTCAAATTTTAGAATTTTGTCTGCAGTCACGACAGTCAGGTTAGTAACGAAAATTATAATTGAAGTCCTTGAGGAGAGTAGGTTTACTCAAATATATTCTTGTTAGGTTTGTTCTGTTTCCTCCAAAAATTTTATTTATTGGTACTAGGTTTGGACTCGTGAGTATTTGCAATATTTATTTGTGTGTTTTGTGTAAAATCAATCTTAGGGTCTTTCTTCTTCAAAAAATAAACTCATTCTCTGTTTCTTTGCTGAATACAGTCTCTTTTCTTTTCTCCCTCAGTTTACCTCTAGTTTATAATCTTAAAGTGATCAAGAATCGCTAATAGTTGAGACTATACGGGACCCGACATAAGAGAGCCCTTGAGGGTGAAAATACTGTGTTTTTTAAAATAAATAGACACAGGAATTGATAGGTAGATGGAAGTGACATTAAGGTTAATTATATAACGGAGAATGAAGTAATACTGTGTTAGCCGTTAGTTGGACATTTTGATTTTTTCTTTTTTTTTTGGTTTTTATTTATTTTCTCTTTTATTCTTTATTTTATTTTATTTTTTGGGAGTTGGTGTCAACGCTTTCACTCAAAATAGAATGACTTCATAAGAACGGTAAAAAAATGTTAAACAAATCAACTTATTCGTCTTCAATTGGGTCGGATATGCATAACACAACAGCCTTTTAGAGAGAATTTTTAGGGCTCAACTATAATGAGCATCGTTTCTTCTCTGTTTTATTTGTTTTGCAGAGCAAGGAATGGCCTTTTTTTGGAGATCAAAAGCGAAAAAACAACTCAAAGGAGGAATTTGGTGATAGTTCTTATGGTTATCTCGTTATTGTTGTTGTTAAATTCGTATTGAACGATAAAATTGCCTTGTGTCTATCGGGTACTGATTTTTGAAGTTTACTGAGCCGTTCTAAATTTAAAACGTCTGACGTTGTTGAAGGTCGGTTGTTAATTCTGTTTTATGTTAAAAGTTTCTTTTTGTTGATAGTTTTCTTCCTACCTTTCTTTTCATCACCTTGACTTGTCTTCCGCTCTACCTCCTTCATTTCCTTTTGAATTCTATAGGTCCTCTATAGAGGGTGGCAAACTTTAAATTAAAAAATTGTCTGTATATACTGGCAACCAAATTTTCGCCTTATTCTTTCAGTCTAATTCATTGTTTGTTTTCTTTTCTTTAATAAATAAAATTTTCTTCTCTGTCCGCTTATTGGTTTAGTATCTAATTAATTGAGACTAGAAGGTGTAAGCTCTGAGAGTTTAATAACATCGAGTTCAGTCCGAAAAATCCTTGTAAACTGACTAAAGTAAATTACTGTATTTTAATATTGGAGAAACTAACTGTATTTTTGTATTTTTATTTAAAACCAAATTTGACTCAAGTTACGTTATTGCGGAGATAATGAAGTTCCGTTACGGAGGCTGTTGTTGTAACTTCTTTTTAATTACAAGCTTTCTTTATTGTTTTCACTTGATCTTCAACGATCAACCAATTTATACAGATAATTTGAAGACCAAGAACAATTGTACAGTGTTTCTGAAACTTCATTTAACAACGTTAATAGTAATGGAAAAAAAAAAAAAAGAAAAAAAAGCAATGACAAATTGTTTTTTTTCTTTCTTCTCGCTCGCATATCTGTCATACAGTTTTTATCTTATTAGTCAAAGAACAAATAATGTTATGTCCAATAGATACTCATGTCTGTACTGTATAAAATCATAGTTGCCAATGATGGTGACGATGACAATGGCGATGATAATAAATAAATAACAAAACATAGGCAGACAGTACTATTGAAGAGGTTTTATAATCATAATGGAACAAGCAAAACAAATAAGGGGAATAACCTCATTAATATATAGATTTTTTTGCGAAGCAATTAGATTAAAGCAGAAAAATATGGAAAAAGAAAAAAAACAACAATTTTTGTTAACACTTTTTTTGTTTTGATTAAATGTGGCAAGACTGAGAGAAAGTTGTTTCCTTTTCTTTCATCTGTTTATTCCTCCTTTCTCATCTCAGTGAGCAGTGAATTTTTTTCTCTGTAGGGCAACAGAAAATAACATGTTTCCAATCAGTTTTTCTCTTGGGACAGAGAATTCTAATTCTAAAAAAGTAGGAGAAAAAAAAAGAAAAGGATGTTCGAAACAGGTTGATTGTTTTAATAAATTATGATTTTCTGAACAGTCTAACCACCGCTAACAAAAGTGACAACTCTTTGCACATTTTGATTTCATATAATCTTTGAAAATCGCCTGCGTACACATACCAGAATTCGCCCATCGTTGGCACCATGATCGGGTATCCTCACATTTGGTTTCACATTTGTTGCAACTTTTAGCGCAGTTTTCCTCCATAAATTTGGCACTGAAACGTGATTCACAGTGCCCGGATCGAGCCAAAAATTCACAGTCTCGTCGTTTATCTTTACAGACTGATGGCGGTGCTGCAAAAGGTGAAACGAAAAATAAAATTTTTTTGGTAAATTCTATCATGATTTAATCGGGTAAGCTATTTTTTTAGTTAAACATTCTGACCGATTATACATCATAGCGTCGATGTAAAACATAAATCTGCTGTTCTTCGTCCGGTGCAAAACAGTAATAGTTTCGTTAAATAAAAGTAACATCAAAAAGTATTTATTAAAGAAAAGTTATTAATACTAGGTAAAACCTGTAGTTTGTCCTGATTTAATTATAGGACGTGATGTTGTGGTACTTCGTACCGGTTGCATTGTGTTTGATGCTTTACTATCGGTTTCATGAGTATCAGTTGTTCCGCGTCTCAAAACTTCCAATTCATCTTCTTCATCGGGCATTTCAGTTGTCATTTCTACAACACGGGAAATAGAAGACTATAAGCCGTCATCAATATAGGTTAAAAATAAGCGAAACTAGAATTTTCTTATAAACAGAAGGGAAGAAATTGGGGAGAGGATGGAAAAGAAAAATATTGCAATAATATTTACAACAATGGCTCTCAGCAGAGTGGTAGGAGTTGTAGAGACTCTAGGAGAACAAAGAAGGCTTTGAATTATATTTAAACAATCTAAGACTTGAGGTTAACTTAAAGAATTGCTATAGAATTTCTAGCTTAACATACCTTTTAATTTGCTTAACAAAGCTGAAGAAAGTATAAAAATGAGGCTGGCGAACTGATCAGAGAGAGAAGGATAGTCACTGAACCAGGGGGGTTGAGAATCCCTGGTTTAGGAAACAAAAAATAGCATTTGTCATCAAATGAATTAACTAACGAACAATGTTTATTTGACTGAAAGTGATCGCAACAGCCTTCAGCCTGACAGCGCCGTAAATTTGAAATAAATAATTTGGTAAATATTTAAGCGGCTGTTAAATTTTTTTTCAGAAAGTGAAAACGGTTTAAAAATTCCAAATTTGGTAAAGAAATTATTATTGAAAGTGTTGGTAATGCGAATTATAGTTGTGTTTTCAGGTCGGAAATTGCATTTTGATTAGTGGTTGGATTAATCTGATAGTTCCGAGAGTGAAGAAAACAATGCTGGTGAAAAAAAAAAAAAAGAGGAAACGAAACACTGACCAACTTGAGGACATTTATAAAGCTTATTAATTTTGAAGAGATCATTCTGCGAAAATCCAACTCGTTGACCAATTTCAATTCCTTTTTTCTTTGGCTCAATTGTTGGTTTACCATTTTTAGAGAAGGCTGTTGGTGCATAATGCATCACTGAGCCATAATCATATTCAGTGCCCAAATGATCGATCATATTCAATGAATACTTATCAAATTGATCTGAAATAGTCGAAAAAAGTGCTTTTATAAACAGACATGTAATTAAAGCAAAAAAAGTACTAGTTTTAATTATTGACAGTTACCTGTGATAAATTGCTACTTAGTCTGTTATTTTTATTACGTTGAAAAATTTTCGTTACTTTTGTAAAGCTAATTTACAACAATGAATTTATTGCACTCATCAAACCCTGCTTCAAAAAAAGATACGTATTTAACGTATCAGTTAGTAAATTATTTTTACATAAAAAGTGTCTACCTTGTAAGCCAGATTCTACATTACTCCAATTGATAGTAACGTAATCATCTCGATCAGCACGACCTAAATACTACAAATTGTTTAAACAAGTCGAAAAGATCAGTGTTTGTATGCTGAGTAAAATCTATGGCTCATATTTGGTGAAATTACAAATTGGAAAAAAGACAGAATTTTGAATGTTATTTCTTAAAGCATAGTAAACAAACAGAATAAATTTGATCTGTAAAAATTTCTAAAAAACCAAAACTGATCGTTTTCTTTTTTCACTACCTGTTTTAATATATGGCAGGTGATATAAAGTAGCACATTATGCAAGTTAGATTTTATATCGTAAAGTTTAAAATAGAAGAATTAACAGAAAAAGCCACTGTTGCACGTACTTTGTTCATGAAAAAATCCGACAGCATGCATCAACTCATGAATTATAATACCTTTTTGAATGCACCCATCACCCAAACTTACTGGCTGTTTACCACCTAAAATATTTCACTTAGATTTGTCTAAAGTTTTGTTTAATAATATTCGCAAAAACTAGTTATTTTTTAAAATTAGAATTTTTTACTAGAACTTCAAGAACAAAAAGTAAAAAGCCA